GAGAGAGAGAGAGAGAGAGAGAGAGAGAGAGAGAGAGAGAGAGAGGGATTTTTCTAAGAGAAACTGATCAGCTAGCTGTAAAACCCCATTGTAAGTCTTCGCAAACAATTGGATCCAGGAGGCAGGAATAGCTTTTTAATTTTTCTCTACAATCCCCAGCAGAAAGCACTAGAGTGTATGTAAAATATCTAAATAGTTCTCAGAAAATGTGTGTTTCTATAGACACACAATTAGTGCAGGTAAGACTACCCTCAGATAAGTGGGCCACTTCAGAAGGTGAGAGGACCAACAGGAAGCATCTGGCATACAAATATTGCTTATAGTTTATGAAACATCTGAGTCTTGTTCTCACCAATTAAATCCTCATTACAGCTCCATGAAGTAGATTTGCAATCCCCATTTCAATGAAGAAAAGTCAGACAGAGAAGTATCTATTCCCCAAACTACTGGTAATGTGTCAAATTAAAATAATTTCTGATTTTATTCCAAGTGCCTGCTTCTTATACAGTGTATAAGTTGAGGTTACCACTGAATCAAGCAATATCAAGAAGCAAGTGAGGCTTATTTCCTTTAACTTTACAGTTTTCTATGATCTTTAAGATATGGCTAGTCCTAAAATAACAACAAAGAGAAAAGAAAAACAAACGATGCTTGCTCTTATTAGTGTAAAGTTGTTTCTTTAGATTGTTTTGCCGAGTCATGGGAGAGGAAGTTCCAATAGCTGACCACAGGGGATGTTGCCTCAGAATTGCTCAGAGTCTTACAAGGGGAAGCTAGCAGGCCAACAGGGTAGCAATGCTGATGCTGACAGACCCAATGGACTTACCTCCCCCAACCCCTTCCCACAGAGAGGAACTTCGTCTATCTCAAAGACCATCTGTTACCTTCTGGTGTCGATACTGTTGCCTTATACTGGACAAGAGGACAAACAGTGAGGCCAAATACAAGTGGTCAGGTGTACATGACCCTGTAAGTTCCTCAACACTAACACTTGTATTCAATGCAAATGACCTGTTCACTGGTCCACTTAACTATACTCTTTGCATTAAGACCAGGAGCTGGAGAATAGAAATATGGCTCAATGAGTTCCAGTCCAGGACCTACATCAAAAGCCTGGCTATTTGCCTGGTTGCTACAGTTGGAAAATGGGTACAAGTGAATCCCCAAAGCTTACTGGCTAGCCTTCCTATCGAAACCAGTGAGCCTCTAGGTCACTGTAATACCCTGTCTCAAGGCAGGAAGGTAGTGAGCAGTATTTCTGACTTTGGCCTCTACACTTGGTCCGTGTGCTGGCAAACTCATATGAACTCACCTCAACACACACTTAAGTCTAGCACTGTTCTTTGAACATTTCAGATATTCAATGAATGCATGTGAGAAAGAAAGTAGTAACATAGTCAATCTTTGTTGGCAATGGCTCAAACCTCTAAAGAGTTATTAAGTATTAGTAATTACAGTTTATAGGACTTGAAAGATGGCCCAGCAGTTAAAGGGACCTGCTGCTCTTTCAGAGAACCTAGCTTTTAGTCTCAGCACCCACACAGCAGCTCACAACCATCTGTAACAACAGCTCCAGGGTATCCTTTGCCTTCTTCTGAGGGTAAACATCCATACATGTATATATATGTGCAAAACACTCATACACACAAGAAAATTAAAATAATTTTAAACATAATTGCAGTCTGCATAATGTTGTTACGTGAAATTTACTTATCCTCCAAATACTAGATATCTGGTTTCTTCTCTTCATGCAGTCTTTCCTGGTCTGCACAGGAAGAATGCATAGATTCTTATAACACCTCTATTTCATGGTGTTTTTAAAGATTGATTTATTTATGTATATGAGTGCTCTATTTACATGTATGTTTGCATGACAGAGGAAGGCATCAGATCCAATTACAGATGGTTGTGAGTCACCACATGGTTCATGGGACTTGAACTCAGAACCTCAGAAGAGCAGCCAGTGCTCTTAACCCCTGAGCCATCTCTCCAGCTCCCTGCTGTTTTGTACATAGCTTCACACTGTGTTTGTTTATGTAGCCATCTTCCATCACATAAAGTCACTTTAGTGTAGGAACCTCCTTTTACTTCACTTTCTATTCCCTTACTTTATGTCAGTCACAGTTTAGCAGTAGGTAGGGGAAGTTCAATCAAGACAAAGCAACAGAAATGCTGTCAACTGTTATGGGGCTAAACGTATACTCCTTAAATTCCCACATTGATGTGTCAGTCCTCAGTATGATGATGTCTAGAGGTGAAGCCATTGGTAATTTCTTGGGTCCTGAAATTGGGGCCTCCAGGAACAAGATTGGTGCTTTTAGAAGAGTCAGCAGAGATGATAATTTCTTTTCTGCCCGTGAGGAAACAAGGAGAAGATGGCCAAGGCAGAAGAAAGCTCAATAATCAAAGTGGTCAGCATCCTTATGTTGAACTTCTAAATCTCTAGCATGGACATACAATTTGGGTGTTTAATTTGCCTCCTTTATGGTACTTTTGCAATAGCAACCTAAATGAACTGAAACTTTTCAATGATTAATAAATGAACAACAAAGGAATAAATGCAAATTTCCAGGCTGTCTATTGCATTTGAAGATGCCACCAGGCTGAGCTCCTTTTTGTTTCAAGGACAGCAGCTATCACCAAACAGACCTTTCCTTATCGTTTCCCTGTCTCAAATTATTTACTTATTTATTTTTGAGGCATTGAGGTATGGAACTCCAACTAGGCAAGTGCTCTTCAATTTCTACCATTTAGATACTTCCTCAGCCTGATAATTTTGTACTCTTCTTAGACGTTAAAAATTATCTTAATCAAATGGCTAAAATCAATCATTTGTGCCTCAGATAATTGAGGAAGTCTTCTGATCCAAACAATGGTCTGGTAGAATTTTTTTTTAATCCCAAGTTAAAAATTCAGTAACTTTGAATCTAGGAATACATTTGTTGAAAGGGACTGTGTTGATAGCTGCTAATTTGTATGGCGTCTGTGTCCTGGTACTCACATCTCCTTCCGGAAATTGCAACAATCCCCAACAATGTATCTCAAAGTTGCAGAGACTGACTGGAAAAGCAGACAGTCGACGACTTTGAAAGCAGTTCAGATCCGTCTCTTACTGGATTTGTCCTTCACTGGGTTTTGCTGACCAGAAGCAAATTCTCGGCTGTGGAGGTTGGTGATAAACTGTAATTTGCAGTTACACTCAGTCTACACCATTGGAGCTGAATATTAGTTATTTTTGTTGCCAGCTTTCATTTTCCTTTCAGTGGAAACATCTCAGTTTTGCTTTAATGACCCCACTAACTTCTACCCTCAATTCACATGGTTTTGTACAGTTTCTACTCTATCTTCATGATAGAGATTTTAGTTTCTTTCAGATCAGGCTCATGGCTACTACTGCTAATTCAGAGTTGAACTTAATTTAGGTCAGTGAAAGAAAGACTTTTTTTTTGGTGTCAGAATATTTTAATGATAAGGCTGAAGCTGTTAGGGACCAAAATATAGATGCTAAGACTCAAGTCAGCCTCAAAGAAGCCAAATGAAAGACATTGTGATTTGATCCTTAAATCAAACTGACCCAAAGAAATATTCTTATCTCATATTCATTCTTGAGTTTAATACTTTCTCTTTATGCTGAAGATTCTTTTCATGAAATACTCCCATGTGTATGTGTGTGTATGTACACATGTATATATGTGTATGTGTTATATGTATGGGATATACGTGTGTGTGTGTGTGTGTGTGTGTGTGTTATCCTTGGAGGCCATAGGAAGATGTTGGATGTTCTGATTTATCAGTTTCCACCTTATTCCGTTGGTGTAGAGTCCCTTATCAAATGTAGAGCGAGGCTGACAAGCCCACACAGAGCCAAGATTGGGTTTTTGTTGTTGTTTTGTACAAAGGTGATTGAGATTTGAACTCGGTCCTAATGTTTGCTCAGTACTTCCTCGTGAACCAGCTCTCCAATGTCCCCAATAATCACAAATGAGCAAAAAAAATTTTCACACCCTTTAGGACTAATATTTTTGTGTACATTAAGCCCATTTAGTGTGGCTTATTAAGACATTGCCTCCAAAAGAAAAATTAGACCCTAAGAATTTGCATTTCATCAAACAACCCAGGAAAGCCTAATACAGATGAGTAGGGGAGTAAAGCTTGAGAGATGCTAGTGAGTAAAAGTGATACCAGTGAGTAAGAAAAATCTGAGGAGACGTCATCTGCCACCATAGGAACAAAAAAAAAAAAAAAAAAAAAAATAAGAGCTCATCTTCTTTCTTGGTATAGCAATGAGTAATATGTTTTGAAGCATCAGGAGGGATTCCCAAATCAAATGCTATTCTGAATAAGGAACCTTTACATTCTTATAGCACTTTCCCTTGTTGTATATGACATGATTCTGTATCTTTATCTGAGACTACCCAGGGGACTCGCTGTTGTTCATTAATAAATAGCACTTCTTTCCACTCTAACAACTGTCCAGGATTGGATAATAGATGTTATGGCCATTCCTTGCTTCAGAGCAATTGGCATCCAAAGACACCTTGTCTCTCTTGTGACATACATGTACTTGCACATTTGCATGCTCGTGCCCAAATATATGTATATGTACTTTTAGTAGCTGGAACTGTGACATCTTGAAGTTATTGCTGCCTACTCAGAAAGTCCTTAGTTGCAGAAATACAAGTGGCTTCTGAATATTACAAGAACATTCAGTAAATGCATACTTACAACAACACACACATATATGTCACTACATATCTAATGATATATATGTCATTACATATATAATGATATATATACATACATATATATATCGACATCATCTGACATGCCACTTTTACAGTTTTATAGTTAATAAGGAATCCATTTCTATTAGCTATGTGAACAAAAATCTATAGTAACATCTGAAAAGATGACATCTGTCAGTTTGCTGCTTCCTTGGAGATCTGCTGTAATTGATACATTCTTATCAATTTGATAACTATTGAGCTCAAGTATTTTGCATTGATGCTGTTTTCAAATATCTTTGAATAGGGAGATTTGCCAGTGCTGGCTATTGCAGCCACAGTTCTCCATTAAACTAGTCTATTAACAAAAAAATCCTTGAATTGTTTTGATTGTTTTGATTTTGCTGGAGCTAATTACAATTAAATAAACAGGAAAATTTACCTGTCTTGTTTCTGAGGATGAGTTGTATTTCCCTGCTGCAAGTTACATGCACAGTTGCTAAATATTTTAGCAAGTATTATGGTTCTACACTCGCATTTCTAGTGTTGGAGGAATTTAGATCAATGATTTCTGCCTAACAAGTGTTGTTTCGAGATAATTTTCCTACTGCTTGTTTGGTTCTGCCCAAACACAGCTGTAAGGTCTTTCTTTCTATATTTGGAGTCAGAGTGACTGATGGCTTATATCCACCATCTGGAAGAGAATGTACTGAGTGGGAGAGAAGAGATAGAGATACATGGCTTGGGAGACTCCCTTAGTGTCTTCTCTACCCTGTATCAAGGTTCTGATCTTAAATTCAGACTCTATCTGCCATGGAGGGAATGCAACATATGTGAAATGTTTTTCTTTCTCTCATATGTATGTATGTATGTATGTATGTATGTATGTATGTATGTAGTGTGTGTGTATGTGTTTGTGTGTGTGATGTAATGTTTGCAAATGTGTGGGTTCATGTGTATGTATGTGTAGAAGCTCAAGGTTGATGGTAAGTGTTTTCCTTAGTAACTTTCCACTTTATTCAGGGAGGCATGTTCCATCAAGTAGACCCAGAGTTTGACAATATAGCTAATCTAGCTTGCTCCTGTCTCTGCCTTCTGAATTGGCCTATCTGCATGGCCACTCAGAATTTACATGGGTTCCAGGTATCTGATCCCTAGTCCTTATACTTACATAGAAAGTGCTTTAACCACTGACTCTGTTTCTAGACCAAGGTGAATTTTTTGTCAGGTTAATCATGTAAAATGTCCCCATGTCAGAGTAGATTACATATCACTGTCTCTTGAAATAAAGTAATTCCTAAAATACTACCAAAATATCAATAGAACCGTGGTGGTTTGAGTGAAAATGGCCACCGTAGGCTAGGGAGGGAGAAAGTGTCACTATTGGAAGGTTGTTGGGCCTGTTGGAGTAGGTGTGACTTTATTGGAGGAAGTATGTCACTGGCTGTGGACTTTGGGATTTCAGAAGCCCAAGCCTGGCCCTGTGATGCACTCTTTCTTAGTGCTGCCTGAAGATTCAGATGTAGAACTCTCAGTTACCTTTCTAATACTATGTCTGACTACATGCTATTATGCTTCTCTCTCTCCCAATCCCCCATGATGATAATGTACTATCCCTCTGAACTGTATGGCAGCTTCAATTAAATGTTTTACACATAAGACTGTGAGACAGTGGACCATGCAAGGAAACTTGGTATGGTTGAGTGGGTCTAGAGTCTCTGGTACCCAGGTACTCCCCTGAGATGGTAGGCAGCTTCCTGCTTGCTATTAGATTCCTGGCCTGGAACATATGCCACACTTCCCACAAAGGAAACGTGGCTTGTAGTCTTGTAGCCCAGAACACAGTTCTCCATGCTAATGAGGTACCTAGAGGCCCTGATGGTTTAGCCAATAAGCTCCCCTTCCTGAAAATGTCTTCCTGCAAAAGATATTTGATATTTCGTTTACCCTGAGAAGTTGGTTTGCTCTTATTTCCCGTGATGAGCAATCAATAAACATTTTAGAACCAAGGACTGTCTCTTTCATTAAGAACTGCCAAGGAGAGCATGGAGAAAGACTTCGAATACCAAGCTTCAGCCTAAGTCTCCCACAGAAGGCCCATCTGTACTCCCAGATAATCGCAACCAAGCTAAACATTTTTGCTGACGAGCTGAGGCAGAGTTCCCACCTTCCCTGGCCCTGGGCTTTTAGTCATCCTCAGTCCACGGGCCCTTAGCTCCACTCCCAACTTCACCACTCAGAGGTGCCTGGATATCCAGGAGTTTTGGAGCCCCTGGTCCTGACCTCGTAGTTCCTGACTCCTGGGTGAATTAACCCAAAGGTGACTGGATGTCCAGGAGCTTGGGAACCCCAGCTTGAGGCTTTCACAACTTATACTGTGTTTACCCAGTCCCTGTGTGTCTTGGTGCTTCCCTAAAGCCCAGGATAAACACAGTCAAGTTTCACCTGCCCAGCAGTGCGTCTGCACCCCAGCAGCAGGGCGGAATGTGGACCCACAGAAACTCATAGCACACAATTTTAAATTTTTTCATTCTTCTGTGTGTCTAGATGGACATTCACATGCATAGCTTGATGTAATTCTTCAAGATAAAAAGCTGCATTACATATTCCAAGCTGTTTAGCAGACCTGGTTCCTCCTTGTTAAATAGTAGAGATTTTCCATTGCAATTTAGCGACAACTAAATGTGACACTCCCAATTTTAACATTCATTCCAAGGAAGGGTATTAACTCCACAGGACCACGAAGTCAATCAAGCCACTAATGTACCTAAGACCTCATTCCCATTTATTTAAAAAAATCATTTTTGATTTGACAATTTTATGCACTTGTAGCATAAATTTTAGTCATTTTCACACCCCATTCCCCTTCTCACCCTCTCCTTCACTGGAGCTCCTCTTGTAAACAAGTCTCAGCTCACTGTCACGTTTCCATTTCTAGTGTTGCTTTCTGAGTTTGCTAAGGTCACTTGCCTGAATGTACATGGGTGGTCCCTCTCACTTTTATTCTGTACTGTACCTTTGAGGGACTCTGTTTATTTCTACTTGAAATAGAAAAATCATCATGTTGGTAGATAACATAGTAAACAGTATATAGAAAAAGTATATATGTATATATGCATAAACATGCATATGTTTATATTTAAACACACATATATTTATATGACTGCACACACACACACTATATATATTGAAAGTCAGAAACCTGACTTAGTGGTACTATCACTGACATGATTTGTAAACTTTTTTCCTTATTTTGAACACTGCTAGCATCTTTTAATACAAATTTTTAAAACAATATGGTTTAAATAGCATTTAAAGCGAGACCTATAGCCACAAGGGAGACTAAATTCATTAGATTCAAATATTTTCATCCCATTTAGTGAAGGGTTGACTCTTCCTCTAAGATTCCTTACATTTAGGTTAGATTCTGAAACAAATGATCCTGATTTATAAATATATCTTTATTTGTTAACATTATACATTTTATTGTTTAAATTAAGTGTTTGTAATTGCATGTTTGTTTTAGGTGATAGTAATTCCTGTAATCATCCTAATGTATCAAGGACATGTACTGCTAAAACAGTAATTATTGCAAACATTGCAAAGCAGAGTACTGAGGACAGAAAATTTGTAGAACTGGCTTCTTACATTGGCATTTTTTGTGTGTAATAAATCTTACTTGTATTTTAGTTTTACAGAAAATTAAATAACCACACATAATATTAAGAAAAGTGGAAAGTATAATTCTGCCTGTGACAGAAGAAAGATTCTAGAAATATTAATTGTATTGGATTAATGAAAACTACAGAGGAAATTTCTCAGATATTGAAAAGAAGAACATAAAGACAAACATCACCTAAGGACTGTCTTACTTACACTGTAGCATCACTAAGCTCAGTATAACTCCACAACACACACACACACACACACACATATATATACACATATACATATATATATACATATATATGTATATATATTTGAATGGATGTCTTTTGAATAAAAGGATGGTTATGAACATTTTCTCAATTTACCAAATCTCTTGAAATTTAGAGAAAGCGTTTCTATTTTCACTGTACATGATGAAGCAAGATAAGTGCCATTTGTATGCAATGATGTGCTTTTAAAACGTGGGAGGCAGAATGATGGAGTGGAAAGAAAAAACATAGATGTTTCCTCTCAGTAGCACATTGAATAATCACTTGTAGATTTTCTCAAAGCTGGGACAAGGATTGGCATGCTTAATATAGACTTTGGTGCATGGTAGGTGTTCAACAGAAGTAGTCCTATACCGTTAATTGTGAAAACTTGTTCTATTACTGCTCTAAACTTCTTAAGAATTTTAAAAGATTTAAGAATCTTTTATTTGTTTTATAAAGATTTCTGAAATTGGAGAGTAGTATAAGTGTGCAGTTGTGATTGTCATGTGAAATATTTATAGCAGAGTGTCAGTGAGAAAATATGCATTCAAAAGAGACAATTCTGACTTCGTAATATAGATCATTGTGTCTGTCTTTAATGTGGGCTAGGACAGACACCATGAAAAGTGTGTGGTGCATTGATAAGTTTGCCCAATGTGTCAAGTAGTGGGATTTGTTAGAACAAATTTGTTAGAACAACAATCACAAAAGGCCACCATACACTCTTGACCCAACCAAGGGGAAGCTACAGCTCAGGTCCTTTCTATGGGCAAGAAGCCCATCCCTGGCCGAAGACCCACCCCCAATATAGTCCTCCAATCGGCTGCGCCGCGCCAGCCCGGCCCTCGAGTACCACGTGATACAACCCAGCCCGCTTCCGGCGCGTCGCGGGTGGCTGACGTCCCCGGCTGGCGTCGCGTCAGGGCTGGCCGGCGGCGGCGGCGGCGGCGGCGACGGCGGCGGCGGCTGCGATGGTAGCGGCCCCGCAGTGGGCTTGAGGGCTCGGATCCCCGCTTCTTCCCGCGCTTCCTCGGGCCGACGCGGCGCCGCGGCCCCGGCTCGCTTGGCTCCCACTCCCTCTCCTGCCGCTGCCCGGGTAGACTCGGACGAGGCCCGCGCTGGCCGCCCTGACGCGCCCCGGCTCGGCCCCGGACGGCCCGGCTGCTGTGCGGAGACGAGGCCGAGTCGGTAAGAGGCGGCGGAGGGTCCTGGAGGCTGCCGGGTCCCCGGGCGGCGCTCGCGCCCGCGTTCCTCTTGGCCGGCGTCCCGCTCCCTGCCATCCGCTGACCCTATTGTCTGCGCGCCGCCGCGCTACCCCCGCCTTCCTTCCCTTGCCCGGCCGGCGGCTGTCAACCTGCAGCTCCCGGGCTCCGGGCCAGCCGCGGCCGCGGCCTTTCCTGGCTCCCCTTGACACCCCTGCGAGCCCGCCTTGTCCCCCACCTCTGCTTAGCTTCACGGTCCCCTCACCGTTCACTAACTCTGTGTGCCTGTCTCTTTCCTCTCACTGTCATCTCTGCTAACTTCCACCATCCTTACATCTCTGTTCTTTTTGCCGCTTTCCCTTCTCTTTTTATTCCTTTTTGTTTCCTTCTACCCTCTCTCTCCCTGTCTCACAGTTTCACTTTAAGGGTCTGTCCAGTAGATTGCCTTTTGTAAAAGTTCTTAATTCAGCTGTCTCCCTCGTTCTCTCATCACCGCACAAGAGAATGGAAGTCATCTCTGCCTTTTGAGGTGCCTCATTCCTGAGAGTCACTGGGGGATTAGATTTACAGGCTGGAAGTTTGATCTTAGGAAATGTTAGCATAACTGGCAAACTGCCTCTTCGGATTCTACTTCTGTACATTGAAGTAACAGCCTTGTATGTTGCACACTTACAAGATTTCTATTTAAAATATTTGTTTGTCCCCATTACACTTACTGCGCCCTGGCTATGAATCTTAACCTCACAGATGCCATGGCAGGATATTCTATAGCCCCTTAGCCACGACCTTGTAAACTTGATACCCCATATTTTTGTAACAATCATTGATGCTAGTTCTTTCTTCCCTTTTCAGATTCCAAAAAAAAAAAAAAAAAAAAAAACCAAACCAAAAACAAAAAAGGGACATTTAGAATTCTGTTTGCCGTTATGGCTTATCTATTTTAAACATAAAACATAAAAATTTTCATTTGTGTGTGTGTGTGTGTGGTTTTTTTTTTAAGCTTGAGAGATCCTAGTGACTAGTCATATAATACATGTTTTAAGCATCTCCTTCCAACAAGAGCAGCTTTCGAGTCCTGGTTATCAACCAATTATAGTTTGATGAGGCTGTGGTTACCAATTATTATCATTCTACTATTGATACTTTGAGAATGTATGCATCTTCTTCAAACACTCAGTAGTAAATAAAGGCCTCACGTGTGCTAGGCAGCGAGTGTGGCCACGAGAACAGTAGATACTTCACATTTGAATGGGCTCTAGAGAAATAATGACTCCTCTGCAGTTTTTTGGTTTTGTTTTTTTCTTTTCTTTTTTTTTTTTAAATGAGAAACTTTTTAAAAATTGTCATTGTGCACACTATGTTGAGTTAATAATCGAAACCATGCTCAAAAGTCTAACATGATTGATTATTAAATGTGAAATTTAAGAAAAATCCTTCGCAACTCTTTATGTTAAAATTATCCTGTGGTGTGCTGCTGAGATAGTATGTACTAACTATGCTGATCTTGCAGGAAGATTGGTTAGACCCCTCCCTGACACAGTGCTTGTCTGCTGCTTTCTCCATGGTTTTGGTGTTTTCCATAGGGTTGAACATTTTGACATCCTAAATGAAATTAAGTGGAAAATGATTAAGCTGTTCCCTTCAAGGGTTTCAGTAAACAGAATTGTCTTAATTTTTAAAACTCACAGCATTTTCAGCCTTCTTTGGGTAGGACTTTCCTTTTGTTTTGTTTTGTTTTTCAGTTAAGATTTGAGGCATTTTAGCTATTAATGAGTCTTAATAGCTTGTCTCTTTTCTTTAGCTGTTTGTCCTTTCTGTATTCCTTTTTAAAATGCCCTACCAAGACTGCCTTCTTGCTGCAGCCTACCTACAAGTGTTGGTAATCTTTCAATTAGACGTCTATCAAATATTGTAATGTCCCATGTATTATTTTGAAAATTAGTTAAATTCTGTCTGTTCCTTTAAACCATATTTCATGTGCATCTCATGCATTAGAATCTAACTTTCTTTTTTCTTCTTGAGGTAGTGGAAAGAAAATACTGAAGAATAGGATCTCAAGATGAGTAAAAAGCCCCCAAATCGTCCTGGAATCACTTTTGAGATTGGTGCTCGTTTGGAGGCACTGGACTACTTACAGAAATGGTATGGAAAATAACAGAATTTTGACCCAAAGTGTAAAATTTGTAGCTTTAATAAGTCAGTTGCTATTCTAACCACGTGTCAGTCACATGAGAATATTCATCCCCTGAATACACACACACACATTGGGTTTAGGTTTAGCATTTAAAAACATCAGATATTGTACAGTGCTTTAGCTGTTTGAGATTTGAAAGAGTTTGTCTATAGTAAACAGCAAATAGAGAGGGTGTTACCGTTGAATAACAGAATAATATTGGCAAAGGACAAGGAAGGCTAATTCACACATTTAGCTTCCTAAAAATTTGTATAAAAACCATGATGTGTTTGTTTTCTTGATGTTTACCAGATAAATGTTAATGATTAGGACTTGTACTTTCACAGGGTACATATCCATCCTTTACTATCCTACTGAAAACCAAAATCACAACCCAACCTCCTCCATCCTTAAAGAGCAGAACCTCAAGTCATGTGGTAGCTGACTGTTGTACTAGAAAGGCAGTCCTCTCAGAACAGCACTTTGTCTTCTTGTTCTGGTCATCTGTGGGAGGTGGTCAGTATCAACACCCCATGCATATCACTGACATAGTGGTGTAGGAAAGGGTGCTATGTTAGTGCTATATCCATGTGGTGAGGAGAGGAGGGAAACAACATTCAGGGGTCACTGACTCACTGAGCACTAAGGATAAAGGAATAAGCTGATAGTGCCTCATCACTCTACCTTCTAGGCTAATGTCCTCTTATTGCCGTTCTTGGGCCACTGAGAGGAGTATTTGATAGGTTCTGCCTGGAACCAGTGCTACCTTTGCTCCCTTCTGATGCTCATTTGTTTTGGAGAAAGGCAGGACTTTATTTACTGTACACTTTGATGTTTTCTCTCACCATAGCTTTATTAGAGCCATAGCGAGAGCCAGTAGATTTGCTTCTAATCCATTTGCATTCAATCTACTTACTGAATAGGCAATGGCAGGCAGAAACTTTGTTTAATCGTAGTATTGACTTGAGACTAGCCCTGGGGTTTTATTAACATCTAGCCCTAGACTTCAGCACATCCATATCACACTAGCTTAATGACCTCAGTTTTGGGCTCTTCTGTAGGACTTTTGAAACTCTCAGAGGTTGAGTGCCAATTATTTTGCCTCTTTTCCTCAGCTACTCAGTGGGTAGTTCTTTTTAGGAGCCAGTTTTTTTGCCAGGTGGACAGTATATATAGTGTTTTCTTGAACTTGAGAAGCAACTAAAAAATAGGCTTCATCATAGCAAGGGAGATTAAAAAATAGTGTCTAGATTTTACCAAATGTCAGCAAGGATGTGTTGGTGACAATGGTGAAATGTTCCCAACTACAAAATAGTGGGTTTATACCGTGCAGCAAAAGATGCCAGTTTGTACAGGACTTGGCTTTCTTGGTTGTGATTTAGCCAAGATTGTTTTACTGTGAAGATATACTATTGAATTTTTGTGAGATATGAATATAAAGAACCTTTACTATATTTTTTTAAAGTTACCGATTTTGTGAATAACAAGTTATTTCATATTCATATATTCTCATAGGCTTCTCAGCCAACAAAGTGCCACTGAGCTAGTGTCAGGCTTTGAAGAAGTACATAGTTTATTAGTTCATGCTATAGTTTTTAGGGTCACTAAGGTAGCTTTAATTTTTTTCAAAACCCATTTTTAATGATGGTTCTTAAATGCTTTAACCTCCCTTATAGCCCATTACCCACTAGATAGCAAAAAAAAAAACATAAGAGAAATTATTATAGAAATACTTGTTCAGACCTTATTTGAGTATACTTTAGTATCTTATGCTTCAGAGTGTAATTGCTGAAAGCAAGTCAGAGTTGTAGCTTCTCAACAAAAGAGAGTCATTCTAACTATGTTTTAATGTCTACATGTATTTCTAGTAAGTCCAGCGATGATGGCCCTATTGAGATACATTGACCAGTAGACCATGTTTACTTTTTTGTTCTCAAGACATGTACACTGGACCATATATTGTGGAATTAAGGTATCACATACAGGTACCTTTCCTTTTAAAAAGAAGTATTAGAGAAGCTACAGAGATGGATCAGTTTAACCACTTAAAGGAAGTTAAGTTAACCAGTTAAACTTAAGTTTAAGCAGTTAAAGGAGCTTGCTGCTTTCCCATAGGATCTAAGTGTAGTTTCCTGTACCCATGTAGAAAGGCTCACAACTGCCTATAATTCCAGCTTCAGGCTATACAATGCTTTCTTCTGGCTTTTGAGAGTACACTCACTCACATGCACATACACATACACATACACATACACAATTTTAAAAATATTTTTAAATATTTTATATTTTATGTGTGGATCTTTTACTTCCTTGATGCCTGAGGAGCTCATAAGAGGGAGTTAGAGATGGCTGTGAACTACCCATGTTGTGGGTGCTGGGAAATGACCAGGTCCTTAGAGCAGCAATGCTCTTAACCATTGAGCCATTTTTGTAGCCCATTCCCCCACTTCATACATGTGAATTAAAGAGGGGAGTTAGGGGCCAGAACAAGCCAAGCATAGTGGCACACTCCCAGCAACTTTAAGGTCAGCATGGTAACATAGTATGACTACTTCAGAATAATGTATCCTGGTTTGGGGAATTTAGCTTTGTGGTAGAGCACTTGCCTGGCATGTACAACATCTTCTATACCACCCACTCAACAGAGAACAGCATCAAAAGCACAAAAGTTACATTCCTCCTTTTAGGTTTAGGAAGATATAGTTTACTAGGAGACTTAAATCTGTTCCTTAGGAAGAGTACCCTTAGTACAGAGCAGGCAATACTGCATATTAGATAGCTTCTTTTTGAGAATTCACACATGCAACATAGAGATTGTTGTTTCCTGTTTTCAAAGTAAGTATGCAGCTACCTATAGAAGTCACAGACGGCTTGATTGGTCTGTCTGCACTAGTGAATGCAGGCCCTGAGAAGTAATTCTGTAGTTTTTCATTTTTCTTTGTACTTGCTTTTGTTACTTAGATAGATCTCTTCTATACAGACTAAACCTGTGCTGCACATGGACATTTAATTTTTAAATATTTTGTCATCTTATTTAAAACATTTTCTTTTACTTTATTTTCTAAACAATATGCATTAAGTACTGTGCTAGATCAGCTAATGTAATCAGCTGTTTTTAAATAATACTTTTCTATTCTCCACTGTTACCTATGTCTACTCACACCTTGACATTGAGTTTTATCTCTGGAAGACATCATAAGAGTACAGAAGAATGCCAAAACAAGTGTTTTGGTATAGGAATATATTTGGGGAAAGAATGTTCATAATAAAGTTATATTGGAGACACTAAGTGGATGGTTTTTAATTTATGCAGTTATTTATTGATCTGGTAAGTATGTGCAAATCCTCGCTTGTTTCAAAGTAACACTGGCTATTATTTATACAATATTTTAGGATCAAATAAAAAGATATCTGAACTTACTTTGAATTCTACAGTTTCAAATTTAAAACACTGACATAAGTACCAGGGCTGAAAAATAAGCCTCTGTGAATCAGAAGACTTCAGTGTCCAGGCTTTTAATAGACTTCAGTGTTGGCATGAGAGTAAGCTAGACTCACACAGGACAGACATGTCATTGTAGCTGGCCATTCGAGTATATCCTCCTACTCCTATAGACTTTTCTAGATTGCAGAGCACCTGTACACACATTGACATTTAATCATGTGCAATATAGTTGATAAGGGATAAAACTGGTTTTAGCAATTTAACTGCTGCCTTTTGATTCAGTTGTTATTCTGCAGTCAGTGGTTTATTTATGAGAACACACCAGATGGAGTGATATGCTGTTAGTCTTACAATATTTGAAATACAGTCAAAGTAATTCAGAAGAGTTCTGCTCTTCTGACTTCTTTTGGAATATTCCTATTAATTCTGTTCTAGATCTAAAGAAAAGGAAAGTGAGAGATTAAAAAGTGTGGCAATATCTCCAGTTATGAGAGTTTGCTAGAACAGTTTAAATTTGAGTTGGCAAATGCTATTCCTACACATTTGGAAGGTTTGAACTGTATGGAACATTTGCAAATGTATTTAAGTTGTTCACCAACAGAATTTTAAAAGTGTGAAAAAATTAAAGAAGTTAAGACTGTAGTAGTGACAGATACCTTCTAATTGAAAATAAATGCATGCTTTATTTTTAAAAAATAAAATTAGCTTTAAATTGGTGGCTCTTCAGAGGAATATAGAGATATGTGATCTATGTTGAAGGCTGGAGAATGCCTCTGAAAATTGGTCATTGTAATGAGTTTCAAATTTATAGGAACATTAGATAAAGATAGAGATAGAGATTCTTTAGCTGATACGAACAAAGTTTTTGTCTTTTTGCATTTGTAGTTTCCAAAGATTTTCTTTTTAATACTTGAAATATAATTACTTTGAATCATTCACTGCCATTGAAAGGCTGGTTTCTACGGTAGACTCAGAAAAGAAAGAATCATTGCATGTATAGTACTAACATAATTGAATTATCTATTAGGTCCGCAAAAAAATACCTGTGGACTACAGTTTAAGCCCTAGATTGAAATGATAAGAACTTTGTTTTAAATTCAGATGTTTAATCTACTTTAATCATTAAGTAGGCCTGTACTAGCATACAAACACTTGAAACTTCCCACAAACCAGAGCTCTGCCTACTGTGTTTAAGATGATAACGATGAAGTTTATAAACCTTCTCTATAAAAAAATATAAAACACGAACTAAGAACTAGGGTAGGTGGGCTCATTAATTCAGAGTACACCTGATCCCTCTCTTCTTGTTCTTACCACGTGTGCTCAGTATATTGATGCAGTTTGTAATTCTTTTCTTTTCTGACTTACAAAGTTTTTTTAAACCTTTTTTCTTTGAAAAGAGAAGTTACTGGAAGTTATAAGAAGCAAGAAAATAGGTGTTGTAAATGCTTTTTTTTTGTTATGAACTTTGTATCTCTGCTTTGGTATTCTAGTGTCCTCCATGGTAGGTTTTTTTCCAGTTTA